GGTCTGCTAGTGTTTGCTGGTCGGTCTCCGAGGTCGGGGGTGTTTGCAGCTGGGAAGTTTTTCTTTTGCGCGTGGGACCACCAGATCCGATTCCCGGGGCGGTTGTTTGTTGTTGGGTGCTAGTATGTCTCGCCGCCCCTAGAACCAATCCTTGGGGGGGGAGGAGTATGTTCAGCAACCGACCCTCATCAGGGGATATCAGGGACCATACAACCGACCACCATTCATTGAAAGTATCTACGATCTCAGGGTTGGAGCGGAAAGGAATATAAGAATTGGAAATTATATACGTGGTGAGCTGGGAGATATAAGAAGGGATTGAATTAGGAAGGACTCGTCGGTCGGGACTTTGAAAAATTATTTGGGGACACGCGACGGGTCCAGGGATACCTTGGCAACAGCCGAACTGGCGCGCCATGAATTGAGGTTCATAGTTAAAAGTGTAAAAAGTTTTCTGCCCTTTTTTATCAAGTTTCTTGCTACTAAAAAGAGACCTGGGTTTGAGGGCGACGTCCCAAGCGAAAGGATAGGTGGGATGAGGACAAGGCTCAGGAGTCGGAAGCGGGTTTGGTACTGGAAAGGGCCAAAAATGGTCGGGAGCATAACCCGCATACTTTTTATACATAGAAAATCGAGAGTTACTGCGGGTATCTGTTAAAATGGCGGTTATTATGGGATCGGAAGATTGGAGTTTATTGCGTCCTGAGCAGAGTCGGTTGAGGACTAATCCTAAATGTTTTTCAGATGTTGGCATAGGGGGCGGAGATCCTAAGTTAAACGCGTTGGGGAAGTAAAGACGGAACCAAAGTTCTAAAAACCAAAAAGGACCCGACGCGGCAGTGTCTAATTTCCTATTATCGTTATCTGTTAAACGAAGGCTAACCCTGGTGAGTCCTTCAAACAGATTGGCTAAAAATAGAGTACCAAGGGAGAAGAACCGACCTGACGCAATATGAATGGCCAGGTCGAGGTGAGAAGGAAGAACACTTTTGGAAGGGGAAACAATGACGTACCTACAAAGCCAGAACAGGATAAAGGCAGTATGCTCCCGGTCGGTTACAGGAGTCCCTGGAGCCCCTTGCTGGTCGGTTGCGAACTTTGTCCAACCCCATTCCTTCACACCTTGTAAAGACCATCCCGGATGGTCTTCTGATGGCTCCTGCCCATCTAGGGCCCCCATTACAGGGTCTTCACCCACGACTGGGAGATGTGCGATCATGGCCACGTCCATAAGAGTTGGGCCAAAGGGGGCCGATGGCAAAAGGAAAGTCCCATTTTCCGCATTCCAGAAGGCGGACATGGCCAACAGCACCTTCTCATGCAGGTTGATAGGCATGGTGGACAGTAGTATTGCTTGGTCGATCTTTTGGGATCGCCATTGGGTCTGGAAGTGTTCTGCTACTCGTCGATACCAAGCACGATACAGATCTTTTGGGTCTGTGAGATGGGTCTTGATGCTGTCTCGGATGCGAACTGCTTGGTAGTTGGGATTGTTGATAGCCAAGGAGTTGCGAGATTCCAAAACTTCCCTCATCCGATTTGAATCTTCAGGAGTAGTGCAATATGGACGGATCGTCGGAGTTAGTACTTTCAAGGCTGAAAATGGACCTTCTGGAAGGGTTCCGTCGAAAGGAAGGGCAGGAATGTATTGATTCGCCATAGTTAGAATGTTTTGGGATTGTGATTCACACAGGCTTGTATTGCGAAGAAGGAAGTTAACCAGGAGTGTTGCAGTAACTGGTGTAGTTGCTAAGGAGGTAGTGCTTTATGAACTTCCAAACATTGATTGTTAAATGGCGTTTGAAAGTCCCTTGGCGGCGGGCAAGTTGTTACGTACGAAATTTAGAATTAGGTTAAAAGCCCAAGGTAAAAAGAAGAATGGGCCTGGCAATAGGGTTGATTGAACTGGCTGAAGGACACCGTGAGGAAATCAAGGAAAATAAATTTATTTATTTATTTCTAAGGAAAATTCAGGTCGGAAGGTCTTCAGGTCGGGAGGCCCTCAAGATGGAAAGACCTCAAGTCGGAAGGTCTTCAGGTCGGAAGGTCCGCAAGACGGAAAGACCTCAAGTCGGAAGGTCTTCAGGTCGGGAGGCCCTCAAGATGGAAAGACCTCAAGTCGGAAGGTCTTCAGGTCGGAAGGTCCGCAAGACGGAAAGACCTCAAGTCGGAAGGTCTTCAGGTCGGGAGGTCCGCAAGACGGAAAGACCTCAAGTCGGAAGGTTTTCAGGTCGGGAGGTCCGCAAGATGGAAAGACCTCAAGTCGGAAGGTCTTCAGGTCTGGAGGTCCGCAAGACGGAAAGACCTCAAGTCGGAAGGTCTTCAGGTCGGGAGGCCCTCAAGATGGAAAGACCTCAAGTCGGAAGGTCTTCAGGTCGGAAGGTCCGCAAGACGGAAAGACCTCAAGTCGGAAGGTCTTCAGGTCGGGAGGTCCGCAAGACGGAAAGACGATGAGTCGGAAGGTTTTCAAGTCGGGAGGTCCTCGAGACGGAAAGTCGTCGAGATGGGATATCCGCAGGTCAGGTAAACTGTAGGTCGGATAGAAGGAGGAGTCGGACAAACGCGGAGGCCTTTGATCAAAGACAGGGGGCGGTTGATATGGAGGTCGGCCCAAGTGGGGTCGGGCGAAGAAGTAGGTCGGACGAAGGACGAAGTCGGGCCAAAAGAGCGGAAGGTCTGTGGTCGGCTCAAGGAGTGAAATATAGGGAATTTTGGTCTGCTGGGGACACGTGTCAGCATGAGAAAGGTTGGAAGACGGTTGAGAAGGAGACGTTGTAACCGTTCGGGTGACGGTTTTCAGTACGGTTTCCCAGGGAATATTTAAGGATTTCGATCATCATTTGGCAAGGTATCTTCAATCAACTTCAACAAAGCAAAGTCAGATTTGGGGATCACCACTTTAAATTTCAGTCTTTTATTTTCCAGTTTATTTTCTGTACGTTACAGTGTTTAGAGATTCCTAATCTCAGGCACTAATTAATCAAGTTTAAGGATATTTTTAATATCTTTGAATTTTACTTTATTTTTGTTGAAAAATTACATCAACAATATGTTTTATAGATTACATAATAATGTTAATAATTTTAATTAAATTCTTGTATCATTTTTATAAAATAAAATATCTAATATCTTATTTTGTTTTTTTTTTTTTTTAAAAATACTTTTTATATCAAATATGCAGTATTAATGCATACGTCAATCATGATTATATATATATAGTCATAGTTAATTTATTTTACACAATAAATGAATCAATTTTAATTACTAAAATTTTCAGTATAATTATATTATTTTAACATTTTAAAATATATATTCTTAGACTATATTTTTAACATATTTTTTCAAAAAAATTACTATATTACATATATTATTTATTTTTATATCTACACACAATTTCTCTTTCTCATAGCTCGCATAAAAAAATCAAAAATCAAAAATCAAAACACAAACAAACACACCATTAAATCTTAATAAATTATAATATAATTCCAAAAATGCATATCATTTTCTTTTGTACATTAATGTGTGTTTGTTTGAGGGATTGGATTTTTTTTTTACTATTCATCCAATTTTTTTCCCCCAAAAACATCAAATCAAACACCTATTTTTTATTTTTTATATTATAATAAAAATCAATTTCACATTCAAAAAATCACATCAACACCTATTTATATCACATCATACAACTATTCAAATTCAAAATTTTTACTATTCAAATCCCAACTCAAAATCCAAACCTCCAAACAAACACACTAATGTCCGGACAGTATTATCATGTAGGTGCTGGTATATATATATATATATACACATATTATCACTAATATTTTAACATCATCATACACGCCATATATATAAAAATTATATATCCAATATTAATATATATTCCATTCGTCCCACTACAATTGTCACTATTTTTATTTTTATTTATCCCATAACAATTGACATATTTTTATTTTTGGTAAAATTATTAAACTAAAATATATTTAACAAATATAAATTTAACTTAATTAATTATATAACATATAATATTATAAATGACTAGAATCCACTCAAAATCTTTTTATTTCTACCTATTTCCTAAAAAAATAAATATTTTTATCTATATTTAATTATGTTAATTATAAATAAACAAAAATATTTTTTATTTAATTGTATTATAAAAGATTTTATTCTCTACAAAATGATATTCATATTGCATATATTTTTTAATTGCTATATAATTTTTAAATATTTAAACATATATTTTAATTTTTTTAATCGTATATATTAAATTTATTTTAAAACTATAGATATTATTAATTATACAAAAAATAAAATAATAATATCGTAACTAATTATTATTAACTAATTAAACATCCTCACCTTAAATACCAGGTATTTAATCAAAGGGTTCAATTTCGGTGACACGAGGGAGTATATAATATGATTAACATTTGTTATTCGTATACTTCCCCGTTCTATAACAAAGTATCAATTTTTCCATTTTAATCCGTCTCATAACAAAGTATCCATTTCCTTTTTTAGTATCTACTTAACATTACAAATACCCTTACCACTTACAATATATTACACAAATGTCATTACCTTTATATCACACATAATAAGGTTATTTTAATAATTTCTACTTTATTCTTACTATATCTCAATATAATACTAATAATTCTAAAATTACATACAAAAAGCAAATGATACTTCTTTATGGCACGGAGGGAGTATATGTTAGAGTGTGTTTCTTTTGATGAGATTTGAAGAAAATTAATTTGAGTTTGGTATGAAAATAATGTTCGATGAAATATTTTATGAGAGAAAAAATATATATATTTTTTTTCAGAAATCACATAGTTTAAATAGTAAAATCGGAAAATCCGGGCCAGAGAAATATACGCTAATCATGTAAAATACTCCTATTTATTTTCATTAAACCATTTTATTATTATTGTTATTATTAAAAGAGGAAAAACAATTTAAAAAGAAAGGCACGCTTCCGATTCTACCCTTGGCCTTGAAATGAGACCTTTTTGGTTGGGTTTCATGTACGAATCCGAGCCTCGAGCGGGGACTGTCTGTCTATGCCTATTGCCTCACGCACTGGGGAAGGAGGAGGAGATGCATTAAATTCAATTCCAATTCCAATTCCAATTCCTTGCCCATCGATCTTTCCTTCTTCCAGGTACGATCAGTAAGTAGTATGAAATTTATACCGATATCTCTGTATCCTATCAAATTCCCAGAGAAGTCAAAGCAAATCTGCAGGGCCAAAAAGACCAAAAGGAAAAAATGGTTTTTCCGATCAGAATGTCAGGAGTTGTAAATTCAAGATTTCAACTTACTGTTCATCTGAATTAAAAGTTAATGTTTGCAGATATACCTTTTATATGGCATCAAGTAGCGATTCGAAAAGAATTGCAGAGGATAATGATGAAGATGAGGAGGTATTGATTCGGCTTCTTCTTTGCTAATGTGTTTGTTCGCAATTTAATAATATTGGTTCCTGGTACAACTTCTGCAGTTTGAGCATTTTGATGATTTTACTGTTGCATCTTCATGGGAAAGGTATGGTATTTTATAATGGTTCCATCAATTATGTTAGGCACAAAAAGGCATTGCTTTTGTACCAATTGGACCTATTTTATTTATTTATTTATTTTTATTTTTGTGCTTTTAGGTTCATATCTGAAATAGAGGCTGTTTGCCGACAATGGCTAGCTGATGCTTCTAATAATCTATTGGTATGCTTGTTCCCAAGGTGCCAGCCATCATTTAAATTAGAGCTACTCTGTTTTGAACTGCCATTCTGAGGTCACAACCCTCAAATTATTTTTGAGTTTTTGTATTTACTCATCTGAATTAGAACGAGCTTGCTTGACTACATTGTCCATTTGTTTTTGCTATCGATATGGTATAGGGTGATGATTCTGTTTCAAATTTATAATTTATGTTGGAAAACATCAATAGTGATGCAACAATGGGATAGGTTCATTCATTGCTCATTGTTCATTCAACTCGCACACTAAACCATCTATAGCTTGAACAATCAAGGATACATTAATTATTTTTATTTTTCAACTTTATCAGTATTCCTGTTCTAATTCCAAGGAATTGTCAAATGTGGTTGAAGGAGCATCTAAATTTCCTTTACACTATTTCTTTAATTGAAAAATCGTATAGTGTCATGAGAATTCGAATAACTAACTATATATTACTTAAATATGTTGCTATAAATAGAGTACAGATTTAATTTATTGTTCATGTTGCCATACTAAATGAATTCATCCAGTGGATTGAATTTTTCAGTCAAACAAAAGTGTCTGTTTGACTCTTGTTTATAGAATATATAATTAAACAAGTGAAATGTATCGGACATCAAACCTTTTATGCATGAAAGTTCAAGGCATAAAACCTGTTCTATTTCTAAGGAGGACCTTACCTGTGTTTGAAGTAATACGTATTTTCTCCATGTTATTTTAATTTAAAAACATAATCATAGTTTCATAGGACTTTTAAAAAATAAGGTTTCAATTACTCAATTATTCAACTATTTAATATATCTAATACTATGAATACGATTTTACGCACCTTTCGTTTAGTTGATGGGATTATGTGCAAATGAACAAGATGTTGCTGTAATTGGGGTGATTTGCTGTAAATTGTTGCCACCTGATCCAAACTTGAGTTCAATAATGTTGGATTCTGTATTTTCAGTTACATCATTTGGATTGTTATCCTCTTCCTTCTTTGCTCCCATCTTTGTTCTGATTTGATAAACTTTTATGAGCAGCTTGTCGTGGGAACAATAACCATACTTAGTTATCATAGCTGATGCCAATCTCTAAAGAAGACAGCTGACTGTGTTTTTTTATGCCATTTTATTCCATCTCATGAGATTTTATTGATGCTTTCTGTTGGAATTTGTCCGCTATTGATGTGAAAATAGTTTGATTTATTGAATTTATAAGAATTTGATGATTGATTGTGCCAACTTCTCATGCCGCTTTCTTGCAGCTTCACATTCATTCTATTTGGTTGTAGGTAAAGGATGCTGTTCGACTGAACCCTTTGAAGGATTTGTACAAGGTCAAATCTGAGTTCAAGTATGCTATGAAAACTTATTGCATGGACTACTATTTTGTGACACAAAATAATGGTACTGGCTACATGTTATCTTAACTTTGCAGGAGGAATTATTCTAGTTCCATATGTTAATCACCATTCTAATTGGCCCAGATAAAGTTCTTGATTGGGATCAGACATTGGATTATCTGCAGATATCTTTCGGGGTGAACGAGTTTTTGGTCTCTTTCTCTCTACGCAGGCTTATACAGATTGTTTGTTTGTACTTGTCGTGATGTTCTAAACATGTTTTGTTTACGTACTTAAATGGGCAGGTGATTGCTCCGCAAAGTGCTAGTGGAGTGGTTCTAGATGCACCAGAAGCAAGCAAACTTTTGAGTGCCACTGCCATTGCTTTATCAAACAGTTCATGGTTAGGCTGTATTGCATTCTTGTTCTACTGTTTCTTACTTCTCCACATATATATGTGTGTGTATGTAATTGAAATATATATAAATTTATCTTTTACCACCCAAACTATTTAACTGATCTTAGTGTGTATATATGCAGCATCATCTTTTATACTTGAAGTCAATATATGAATAAAACAACTGATGAAAAATTACTTAGTAAAAGTTCTATTATTGAACAACTATTTTAACATTATTCATCCTCTTTTATATCTTGGGCCAATATATCACATAGATATTTAACATATTGCATATAACTATATTAAACAAATGAATAAATCAACAAAAACTTAGGGCGTGGCTCTCAAAATATCGCATATCTAATAGGTTGGCATATTTTAAAATTGATATTATCAGTTGACCATTTTGTTTTATTATTTTAATCAAAAGGCCTCTTGTTAACATTGTCTACCACTGATGTGACAACTGACAACCTCATATCCATCCATTGATGTTATCTTTTTCTACCTAAATACGTTTAAAAGTTTGAGGGGTAAATGTCTGCATTAATAAACTACTTTTGATATGTTGTTGTGGCTAAGATGCTGCTGTCCTTGAATACAGTTTGACCAACCCAACTGTATAAATGACATTTCTGTTCCTCAAGGGAAATAGGTCAAATTTTGACAATGGTTCGTAACAGTTCTGAAACACATTTTGTTATATGTTTACTAAAGGTCAAATAGAAAATTGTTCAGAAATTTTCACAAGGTGGGCAAGGGATATATGCATACATAAGTTTTACAGAAATGCTGTATATTAACTTAGTAATAAGTATACTTTTGGCTTTTTAATAAACTTTTTGCACTTCAATTGAAAAATGACGACAGTGATATATTTTCTTTACCTTATATGTAGAGAGAGAGATCAATTCACAATATGAATCAAGCTTTTCTCTCAAAATGGTTTGGCATTTTCAAGATGAAAATGAACTTTGAAATAGGGTTGTATGTGGTAAATATCATATTGATATGTACACTAAGTAGCCATTTCAAAAGGTTGACTGGTGTAGCTATACAGTGTTCACTTTGGGCATCTAGGTTAATGAATGGAAAAATTCAACCCTGTGCCTCAGAAGATAACTTCAGCTGTTGGATCAGGAATTGTAGTAGGATATGACTTTGTGACAATCCATGGATATCCCTTTCCTACCCTTTTGAAGGTTGCATTTGAATGTAGTTTTGTGGTTGCTTGTCAAAAGAAGATTTCATCCAGATTTTGGATTTTTTTCTTTTCTTTTCTTTTATTTTTTTTTTTGGTTTTAAAAAGAAAGCATATGGAATTGGGAGATAAAGCTTCGCTGGCAGGTTATTGAGTGGGCAAAAGATTTGTGGAATGAACAAAGCTTGATGCATCATCCCATTTTAGTAGAATCTGAGTTAGATACAGAAAACCTCGTCCAATGAATCTTCTCTAGCCGGTTTTATAATTGAGAATTAGACTCTAGAAAGGTTGAAAATTGGAAAGCCTGTGTTGGAGCTGTCATCAGGGATTTCCATGGCCACATTCTTTTCTTCCTTGCAAATTCAATATCCATTGCATGCTCAAATCAAATACCTATCTTGGCCATCATTATGACTCTTGATTGTGTCACGCAATATCGGATCAGACTCTTTTCTGGTATTTGGTAGAATGCAATTCAAAAAATATTATACTAGATCCATTGTGCTGCCTCTCCATGGAAATTTAACTTTGAAATTAAACATTCCTTTGTAATCTCTAGATCCCTCTGTATACTTTTTAAACATATTGCTAGAAGCAAAAATGGAACGACTGATATTCTTGCTAAACCTGGAGCTAGGGGCAGTGAATATTTCTGTCTGGTTATAATAGGAAGCAGCTGTGTATTTCTTAAATGGATTTCTTAAGTAGATATTATAGTATATCTATGTACCACTCAAGTTTGGGCTCACATCTAACAGGTAATAAACTATTTTACTTTTGAGGAGTACTTTTTTAATTGGGAGTAGAAAGATACATCCCCCCCCCCCCCCCCCCCCCCCCTTTTCTGTTCTGTGATGATTCTAAAATCATCCAAGTTGATGAATTCATCATAAATTCCATTTACGATGACTTAAATGCACAAAGCAGTTCATAGGTCTTGTACTCATTCTTTGCAGTCGCTGGCCTGCATTTGTTCCAGTGCATGACCCCACACGGAAATCTTATATTGGTATTCAAAATATGGGTACAGTCTTTACTAGAAGATTTGAAGCTGACCGCATTGGCAGCCAGGTCCCAATAAAGCTCATGCATTTGGAAGGATTATATGAGCTGTTTGTATCCAAGTTTGTAAGTTCTTCCCAATATTGTTGTGATTTCTCATGATGGTTTCATTGCCTGATTGTTCTTTAGTTATTGTACGGTAATACATTTTCATTTTCACAGGATTTAAACTGAATTGGTGTAATGATAACATTTTCATATTCTTAAAACTTTCCGTTATATGCAAATTTAAAGGGGGTTATGTGTCTGGACCGTGTCCACTGGAGACGCACTGGTTCCATATAATAGGATAAAGGCTTGAATATGATGATGAAGATGCTGGTAATTGTGTATGGACTAGGGTGAATTGTTTTTGAAGTCTCCGAAATGTATGCTTTCAGATATATTAATGTCTTGAGAAGAGTAGAGCATGTGCGTGTTGATATTTTTCATCACATAAAGTCCTCTTCTTTTCTTTGTTTTTTTGGGGGGGGGGGGGGAGGAGATTAGGTATCTATGCTATATTACCAAAGGAAGCTTTTATTATCTATTATATTTTACTATTTGCCTCGTGTAGCATATTGATTCAAATAAATTGTACGATAAGAGTTGTGTGCTTTCCCAAAGCTTGTATTTATCATGCATATATTTCTATGTCCTCGTGTTGATCAATTTATGTTAGTTTTCATCTGTATTTTCTGATTCTTTATTTGATGATCTACTCAACTAGTTACTGACGTAACGGTCACTTTTTCAAACGTACTTAAGGCCTTTGCTACAGTGGACTGGTCAATGCATCACTTTGAAGTCCATTTTAAGATGAAATTGACCTATAGGACCCCTGTCCACGATGATGAGGACGAAATTGAAGGAACAGATGCTGAATTCACAGAATCCGCCGAAAATCCTGAGAATGTGACTCGTGGAAAAATTCAATGGGATGATGGTTGTCCATGGAGTAAGTGGTACTCTGCAGAGGACCCTATCAAAGGTGAAAATCTACTTTTTATAAGAGCATGCATTCGTACATACTTACAGTGTTGAAAGTTTTTTGGCTGATTGCTTGTGTGAGAGACCATAATATTTTGTGTCCAACACTCTAATTGTTTTCCAGATAGTAAAACATTGTTTTTCCTTTGATTTGTTTGTCCCTTGCAGGGTTTGAGTTGCTTGCCTTGTGGTCTGAGATAACAGCTGAAACTTCTCTGGATATGGCTGAATTGGAAAATGTGTCACCACTTGAAGCTGATAAGTGGTTCTTACGTCCATGTCTTTCCCCAAATATGTAAGAATACTTTTTACAATACTGGACTTCCCAGCGTATATTCCCCCAGTTCTGAAAATTGTTCAATATATTGCAGCAAAATGTGGTTGCATCATTTATGGGTCACTCCGTTTTCTGAAGTTGTGAGGAGATGATTCGATTATTTTATGAGAAGTACTTCTCATAAGCACCACTATAGAGAGCCTTAAGTCAAGGGGTTTAGGATCATCAGTTATGGAGTACACAGAACTTTTCTTGAGGCCTTGTTTCATTTCAGATGCTGTAGATTCTCTGTCTTGGTCATGAAACTTATATAACCCCCTTGTATATGTCTTATTTTGTTCCCTCTTTGTCCCCTTAAAGAAATTCACCCCATACATCCATGGAGGCAATGTAGAAGCCACACACATCCCAACAAGTTACTATATAGTCAACTACCAATATGATGACCACATTGTCTATGTCGCATCTTACTTAAACATGCCTCTTTTGATTTGTGCTGGGAGCTAAATATGAGCTTTGACTAGAATAATTCTTGGGATTTCCTTGAGTTCTTTCAGAAACCACTTGTTGGATTTCTTCCATTGCCTTGAGGATATATGGTTTCTTCTATATTTATTTTGGCTATATCTATTGGTCCTTCCAAAGGTTCTTGAGAAAGGCTCTCGTTTTTCACATTTGCTGCCCTGGCCAATACATTTATCTATCTGAAGTAAAAGTGTAAACATCAGAAATAATAAACATTGGTTTTTTCTATCTGTGAGTTGTAAGTATGCTGTAAGCATATGAATAATTGAGTACGTTTGGAGAAATTATAGCTTCTAATTTCTGATGAAATGGTCTCATTTTCGGGAATGTGCTTTATCATTCATTATATTATATTACCTAAGAAATAATTTTCATCCTTCTTGAAGTGATGAAGTATTGTGTATCTATCAATATTTAGCAGTGGATTTTCAAATGGAAGCACCACTGGATTTGCATCCCAGCTGCGCCATTTAGTCAAGGCATTGGAATTATCAATGGAGGCTAAATTTGTTGAAGATTTTGTATCAGGTTTGAAATTCTTGTGTGCGTATTTTGATGACGTATCCTATGTTCCTTGTCTTTTTATTTTTTTTTCATTTTCTGCAATCCACTAGTGTTAAGCTTATTATTCCTAAAACTGGTGTTGATGTTGCATGTTTCTTTGTTCTAATTATAATAAGCAGTTGAAAGCTCTGGTTCTGAAAATCTGAAGTCTTCAGCAGTTGTACCTCCACCAACTGTTCTTGACCGCATTGTGAAGAATCTCTTTCATGAAGGTATGTAGGAATCTAGATGTCAGATAAAATTAGTAATTAGCAAGATTAATGCTTAGGATTAGTGCTAAATTAGTAATTAGCAAGATTAATGCTTAGGATTAGTGCTCAACATACAATCATTTCTTTTCCAATATCTGCTATCTCATCACAAGATGTTCACATCGATCTCATTCTTTGGTTGCAAAAAAGAGTTGCAGCCTTAGAACTTCTGTACATGTGGAATCATTAGTAGTTAACCTCAAAACCTGCTTAACTGATAGTTGTGTAGTGTAATGTCTATAATCCATTCTCATTGCTTTCCTGTGGCATTCCCTATGTTCTAACAAACATCCATGAAACAAATTAACTCTGGTCATATCCTAGAGCATATGAAAGTGGTGTCAGAGCGATGGAAGTTTCAGAAGCAGCTCAAATTTGGTGTTCCAAGAATATAGTATTGATTATAAATATGTGTATGTAGACAGATAAATAGATACACCTTTAATCATTGAAGTGCTGCTAAAGAGATGTAACAAAATTTCACAATTGGATTGTTTTGAAGTTGATTACTGTTTCACCACAATAAACTTACTGTACGAGTTATTTTCCCCTTTTCTGTACAGTCACAGAACAATTGGATTCCTCTTTGAATGAGCATAAAAGTTCCCGATCAATTAAAGGCGCTCCACTTGAATCGCTCTTTGCCCTGTTCTGTTTGCATGCTCTTTGGGTTGGCAACTGCAGTATACGGGGTATTTCTCCCGATAACCTACAATATTGTAACTTCTTGAGTATTCTTGTTAAGCAATAAAAGGCATGTCTAGATCTTTGAAATTTTACCAATAACCTTCACATACTAATCACTGCTTTTCATTTACTTGTCTGGATTTAGCTATTGCTGTATTATGGATAGAGTTTGTACGGGAGGTTCGTTGGTGTTGGGAAGAATCTCTGCCATTGCCAAGAATGCCTGCCAATGGAACCATTGACCTATCTACTTGTTTGATTAATCAGAAACTTCACATGGTTGGTTTTCTTGAGATACACACCACTGACATTTTTATAGTTCATAGATACAAGACATTACGATATATTTGGAGGATCCTGTTGATCCGTGAGAAATTTATTATGGAACAATGCTATACTAACCGAATTTAAACTTATGACTGCAATCCACTGTTTGTCTCATCTTGAACTTGATGTTGGCATTGCCTTAAAAAGGATTAGAATTTTTATAAGTCATTCTGGCAAGATGAGGCTGCAGACTCGCTTTACTTTGTAAGGTGTACTAGGATTGTGCTTTGGCCGATCCTATGATGTATAAAGACACTTGAGCATCATTGGGTTTCCTGGTATAATATTTACGTATAAGGACTGTATTTAATGGTGTCTCACATCGGAAAAATGTTGGAGACTCCCCTTGTGTAAAGGGAAATTCCTCTTATCACCAATTGGTTTGAGATGGATTCTGGATTCTTTCTTTAACATCAAAGCCATGGGTGCCTATATTGGGTAGGATATTGATCCTGATTTCGAGATGAATATTATTCGAGGGGGGGAGTGTTGAGTATCCCACATTGGAAAGATGTTGGAAACTCCCATTTTTTATGAGGGTGAAGAGCAACTCTTTTTATCACTAATTGGTTTTGAGATGGAGCTCCGGATCTCTTCTTAACAAATGTCATTTCTCTTTCCAATTTTGTTATTGTACTTGATTAAAACAGTAGCAATTTATTACATAAGGTGGTTTAAAATTCTTAGCAACAAATTGAGTTGAGCTAGCATGCGATATTCAAAATGCTAGCTAAGTGATACCTACGAATGGATACAATTAGTAATTAAAAGTTGTGTTCATAGGCTGATTTCTGATCTTTAATGTAACCAATCTGGTCTTCTGCTAATCCTGGGTTCCATTGATTATCATGGTAATGAACAGTGCTCAATATCATCTGAACAAGAAAGAACATCAAGATACAATATATTTACATATTTGAAAATACTGTTTTTCTAGGCTAAATAGTATAAATGACCCCTTTACTGATTTTCAGCTTTCTATATGCATCGAGAGAAGGTGTCAAGTGGTTAAAAAGCAAGATGGAACATCTAAACCTGTGAGTTCTCATGTATGGGCAATTTTTTATTCTTCCTCTTTATGACTCTTGCACTACCTTTTGTTAGCCAATGACCTTGTGTATTCTTTTTGCTCAGGAAGAATTTCATGATGCAAAAAGTATATCTGCTTCTCAAGAAGTTAGTCATGGACTTGACAAGAAATATGACAGGTATGCAAGCTTGTCCTGTGACTGCAATTTCTGATCAATTTTATCTGAAAATCAGAAAGTTTTTATCACCAGAGTCATTATATGCCCTCCATCCAAACTAATTAGGTCGCTCTTTCTAGTTTCCTTTTCTTAATTGTTTACTTTGACTTTGAGGAGCCCCCAAGGACCTCAATTAATACCTATAACTTCTTTCCGTGTATTGAATATTGTAATATCCTTATCTTGTAATGGATGATAGGTCATTCGTGAAGCCTAACGTAATGGTAGACTGGTAATATGAGTGGTTATGGTGGATGAAGTAACATAGTATGTCCAAGAGCAGTCTCAATCTTGTTAATTCATGATCCTAAATGAGGGTTATTTCTAGCCACAGTTCCTTCGAGAAGGAATATATTGGCTGTTGTACCTCTGTCTGAGACACATCAGTATTTGCCCAAAAACATCATGCCACTGCTATGACAGATATCCCTTTTCTTTTCTGTTGGCATTGTAAAATCACAAACTTTGCATCTCATGTGCTAATTAAATGTTTCAATCCATCCTTTCCGTGGCCTTTCTCAAATTTTGGTCATTGAAACATCTCCATGTCAGTCGCATTAGCCTTTTCTGCAGAATTTGTCTGATACAATACAAGTACCTGCTCATAATCCATGCCATTGTGGATACATCCGGATTATTTCTCACTTATTACTTTTTGTTCATTCTATTTTTACACAATGAATCTTTATCATGGAATGGTTTATTGAAACATTTTTTTGGTTGCGCATCTTTAACTGGTTAAACTTTTAGGTGAGACGGTTATGTATATCATCTAATATGGTTATAAAGTCATAGGTCTCGTATTTGAGTCCCATCGCCCCCCATTTGTTGTTGTCCAAGTACAAGTTTCATATAGTATCGTATATCTCCTTACCCGTGAGGTAGGGTCTTGGCTAACTCTCGTATGTAGATCGTATATCCCATCGCATGTGAGAGAGTGTGTTGGTTGATTCCTGTAGGTAGATAAATAAATATATAATATATATTCCTAACAACTTAAGATTTTAGGTGAGACGATCATTTATATTATCCAACACATTTATTTATTTTATCAGTCATGTCTGAACTACAGATCTAATTTCAAACTCAATAGTATTATATCACGATCATAAGTTCATAGCCCATGCATTGTGTCAGCTGGAGATCTGTTGATTCATTGAATGTAAACGTTGCAAATGCTTTATTATTTCTTTGATTCTGCAGTGAAGCAAATAGCTCTATTGTGTTTTGGCATTTTCCTAGCAATTGTCTCTACTTGTCAGGAATTTTTCAGCTAATGCTGCAGAGCCAATGATGCTTTTAAAATCATGCAAGATTTTGAATGCTCCAATAACCCAGGTAATTCGCAGAATGCAACTTAGTATTGGACAACAGTTAGACCTTTAACGTACATCACCGATTCTGCTGTAGGATCCACCTCCAATGACAGAAGACATGCATGAAGAAAGGCTTACAGCTGCTGAAGCCTTAGGTGTTTCTTCTGTAAGTATAAATAGCTATTATGTTTGGTGTTTTCCTTGCTTGATATTAAGTCTGTAATTTGTAGATATCCTTCATTAAGATCCACTTGGTCAAATTTAAATTCGATTTTATATTGAACATGACTTTAAGGCCTGTTGTGGCCATGTTAGAGTGTATCGACCATAAGCCAACTACTTAGAGTTGTTAAACAAATCGAGTAGCTCATAAGCCAAGCTCTATTTGAGCTCGTTAAACGAATAGAGATAAAGGAGCCAAGTTTGAGCTCAAGAATTATTATGTGTAAAAGAGTCGAGCTCGAGCTCCGCTTGCTAACAACTTGACCAAAGTCATTAGTGATGATGTATTTGTATCATGTTATATATTAATATATATAATACTTTTATATGGAAACTTATATTTTTAATAAAATTTGAATATTTTTATTATAATAAATTATAAATAAAATTAGATATATTTAATTTATATATTAAAAAATATATAATATGTATAAAATACGAGTCAAACTTGAGCTTAAGTTCAAGTCAAGCTCGAGCTTAAAGTCGAGTCTAACGAGCTGAACTTGAGCCATCATTTTAGCTCGAATTCTAAACGAGCCCAATTGAACCTATACCAATAGCATGTTTGCATTGAGCTCAAATAACAAATACTCAAGTTTGTTCGGCTCGTTTAACACCTCTACAACTACTGAAGTTAATATTATTTTCTTTCTGCTAAAAGTTATAATTGTTATTTCCATTCTACATCTTTGTGATTATATACTGGCATTGGTAAACTGCTTAAATTAATGTCATTAGTTTGTATGGATTCATATTCTAGTTGTCATTTTCAATCTACATCTTTGTGTTTGAGTGGTAGCCAGAAAAATTATAAAGACAAAAGGACAAAGTACTTGAGGTTGCTTGTAATATTTTTCTATTAGATGCGATGTGCAAACTAACAACACTATCTGAAATTTATTGGCAGAGCTTCTCAGCTCAACTTGAAAAGGACATACTGGCATCTGGTAATTATTTCTTTTCTTTTAAGTTATTATTTTTGCATATTTGGTAGTATTTAATTACTTCTATAATCTATTTGTTTCACTATAAACTTTCAACGACAGTTTCTTAATATGAAAAAATAATTGCTATGACAACCTTCACTCTTTCTTTACGCTTTTATGTAGATATATGGTTGTGCCACTTTGTGTTCAGATGTTTGTATGTTTGTTTGTGTTTGAGAGCATGAGTTCACGCTCATTTGTGCATTTTACTTTGATTTAATCTTTCACTTTCCTCTCTTTGTGGCGAGGGGTGGTGGGTAATAAGATGAAATTCATTTCTGCACTCTGAAGGTTCAAGCCAGCGTGACTTTCTTTATTCAGCATTAAGAGATAGTTACGTTAGTGTGCTATGTTGAATAGACAATTATCACTATTGATGACGATGAGAAAATCTAATAATAGTTGTTTTTCTATGCTGAAAATCTCGTCATTCCTTAAATGGCGATGGTAATGTTGGATTGTATTCTAACCATGGAAGGCTTTCCGTGACTGCAGACATGTCTGCATTCAAGGCAGCTAATCCAGATGCTGTCTTTGAAGACTTTATTCGTTGGCATTCACCGAAGGACTGGGAAAATGATGATGGTAATAATGAGAGTGGAACATCTCAAACTAATTCAGTGAACAAGTCAGAAGTCAAGTGGCCACCTCCTGGAAAACTTTCAGAGAGAATGTCTGACTTTGGGAATTCATGGAGAAAGATATGGAATGAAGCACTGCCTTTATCCTCTAACAAGCAAAAACCACTCCTCGATCCAGATAGAGAAGGAGAAAAGGTATTCTATTTTTCTGATGATAATGCTAGTCTCTCTTCTGTTTGGCAATTATGTCGCTCTCTCTATAGCTAGCTTAAAAAGGTTCTCTGGAATTAAACCACATCAGTAGAAAGCAATTCCCTTTTATGAATTCCTTTTTGTTTTTAGAAAAAAAGTTCACTTTTAAATACAAAAGAGATGTCTAAGCATGTAAGATTGTGTTACTACTAATGACTTCTGAATTCTCAGATAAAATACATTCCTTTGAAATATTACAATCTTGCCTTCTCAGAAAATGGATCGGTGATGAAGACGTGTAAATTCACAAGCTTATATCCATTCCATCCGAATAAGCAAAAGATGATGAGATTGCCTTTCATTCTTATTGTTCAATACAATTCATTGGGTAGACGATATGAACTGAAAGATCTTCAATTTTTCCAATTGAGAAACAAGGAGCGATTGAGAGCAATGCCTTGTGAGTTTATTTAGGAAAAACATTGTTCTTGGCATATTACTGGAATCAACTTGGCATACTTGAATTTTTTTTCATAAAATGACTTTAAAGTTAATTTGTCTGCATAATTTAAGATTCTAGAATTGATCATTCTCGCAGGATGTGCTCAGAGTAAGAATATGCTTTTGCTTTGTATGCTGTCCCTTTGTGGCTCTTTGTTAGTATCTCTCTTCATTCATTTTGATATTGTTTTTATTACGAGACAGGCCCTTCATTATCTGGAGACACTCAAGCCGTATCAATTGCTGCAACAAATGGTCTGCACGGCCTTCCGAGCTGCAGCAGACACTCTTAATCAAACTCCAATCGGTGATTCAAAACAGATGACTGTAAAAATGGGACAATTATATGTCACTATGTCATCCACACTGAAGTACTTGCAGCGTAATGTCCTCTTCGTACCACTTAACTGCTAATACATTTTGTTAATTGCCAGATTTCAATTTTCCAACACTGCTTGTCATTTCTACGCAGCACATAGCACCACAAGAGATGACGAAGTTATTGAAGATCTCAATGGGCTATGCAGCACTTTCAAACACATTGAGAAGTTAATTCTACTGGCAGCTTCTCTACATCGCAAATTCTTGCAGTCGCCACAGCTTGCACAAGCAATATCCAGTGATTGCTTTGACTACTATCTCCCGACTATGGGAACAGCTGCTTCAGCAGGGAGTACAAAGAAGGTAAACTTATGCTTTCCTTTTAAAGGTCTTTTAAGGTAGAAAATGAGCTAGTTAAATTTGATTCTTACAGGTCTAATACTAAGAACATTTATATGTACATACAACATATTTTCAATTCATTGATAGCGATGCGCAGATTCAGTCGCGTTTGCTCACTTAATCCTTTGAACTCTGGTTGTTAAGCTGAAAATTTTTACACTTCTAGTCATCATTGTATCATCTTTATATATCTTGGATCGACCTGTTTTGTTCCAGGAATTTGAAAAATGGCAGCCGGTGAGGTCTCGAGACAGGAATTCAATCATGGCGATGTTCCCTCCACCGACTGCAAACCAGTCATGGAGGAAAGTTCTGAGCATGGGGAACCTCCTCAACGGGCACGAACCCATTCTGAGAGAGATTGTGTTCTCTAAACGTGACCACGTGAGTGGAAGCTACCACGCCGACCCTCGCCCTGCTCGGCGGCTTGATGAACATGATGACATAGAAACATATAGAATGTATGTGTGTGGAACATCAAATGATCTTAAGGTTGCACTTGCTGTCACTTCCCATGATTGAATTAGTTTCCATTACTCCATTGATGCTATGATTGATACACATACAGTTGTGTTTGATTGGCCTTATCTTTGCTATTGATCAGTTTGGAAGGTCTTGCTACTTGTCCACACCTACCATTGTAGGCTTCTTTTATGGTCTGTTTTTGAAAATTTGAAATGAAATTGTTGGTTGAGGTAATATAAATAATTATTTAATGTGATTTATTATATAAAATAAATAGATATTTAATATAATTTCTTAAATAAAACTAAATGTTTGATGTATTTTTTAGAAAGAAATAGAAGATGGAGGAATTGTTTTTGTTGGGTGTTGAAAAGACAACCCAAGTAGGTAGGAACAATAATGCTTCATTTACCATAACATTTTGCATCTTTTTGCTTTCCTAGTTTTCTCATGTTTTAGGAGGTATTTTATTATTAAAATTTGGATAAATTATATAGTCTCTTTTGTTATGTTAGGAGGTAGCGGAAATAATATTTTAGGGTAGAGTGTTCTTTTTTAATCATGTAATTGGACCATTTTGTCATTTTAGTCTCGTAAGTGAGCCTGTTGTAAACTAGTTCCATAAGTGAAAATTTTTCGTTGTTTTAGTCCTCCGGCGCCGGAGAAGCCCGCGTGGCTCGCCGGAGGTGACATGTGTCCGTCAGGTGTCGCTGATCTAGTGGACACGTGGATTTTTTCATTTTTGTAAAACTTATTTTTAAGTTATTTTAAATTTTATTTGTATTTTTTTATTTGGTACAATTAAAAAAAATTTTAAAAATTAAAAAAATAAAAATAATAAATCCACATGTTCGCCAGGTGTCGCTGACCTGGCGGAAACGTCACATTCGGCGAGCCACGCAGGCGTCTCCGGCGTCGGAGGACTAAAACAAAGAAAATTTTTCACTAATGGGACTAGTTTGCTACATGCTCCACTTACATGACTAAAATGATAAAGGGGTCCAGTTACGAACCAAAAAAAATAGTTTACCCAATATTTTATTATTTTTTATGTGTAATATTATTGGTATTTTAAATATTTTTTTATGTGTAATATTATTGGTATTTTAAATATTTTTATAATAATATCTAAAAAAAATATATACAATATGAATTTTTATTTATTTATCATTACCATAAATTAGTTTTATAAAAAATGACTTAAAAGGTGGATACAAATATTTGTTAATTGAGATGAGAGATAAAAACAAGAATTTTGAGTGATTGTACATTTAAGATGTTAAGAAATTTAATTAAAAAAATGAGATCATATGTGGCGGGACTGAGAGAGTATTTGAAAAAAAATTTATTGTGTAAAATTTTCGGGCACCCCTTGAACACGGTGATTGTTTCTTGAATTTCTTTGTCGGAGCAGAGTACAAAAGAAATAAAATTGTAGTTATAAAAGAAATAACAATAATAATGATACTTTTCTTTTTCACATAGAATTGTATTCATTTTTGTCAATTAAAAATATTTTTTTAAATATATATACATTCATATTAAAATTCATATCTTACAAAAATTTAAATATATTTTTAAATGATAAAAAAAATAATTATTACTAGTATTTAATTATATAAAATAAATAATAATATAATATTACTTTTATATATGCCTATTTTATAACTTTGTAAAATATATTTTTATTATACAATAATTTTTTTTATATAATTATATTTACTTTGAATTATAGTATTATATAATAATTAAAAATAAAAAATATATTGCTTAAAATATATAATTAACTTAATAAATTTTAAAATATGTTAAGACAAAATATTTTTTCTTATCTTCGATCTTCTCCGGTGACCTTTTCTTCACCCCGAACAGAATGCTCAGTGCATAGAATATTTTCTTCGTCAAAATTAATATTCAATTGTAAATGCACATTTAATTTATACAAGTTTTATACATATAATAAAAATAAATTTCTTAAACAATTCTTTTAAATAAATAAATAAATAATTCATCAATCATTTTATTTGATAGTTTTTTCTAAGACGAGCTACTAACTAATTTTTACCAAAAAAAAAAATTATAAAAATTAAGATTGATCAATTATTATTAATTTATTTTATTCAAATAAAGCTATTTAAGAAGTATAGAACTTGCATAACTAGACATCAGTTTTGGACGGAGATGGTGTTTTGTGCCTATTTTAATTTAATGCAAAAAAAAAAAACATGAGATTTTATGCATTTTTATTAAAACACAAAAATATTTTGCTATTACCCTTACAAATTAATTAGAGATGAAAAATGTGAGAATTGTATTTTATGTTTTATTTTTTTATAACATGAAAACCATAGTTACTACTTTTCGAGTACGCTTTAGGAAAATTTCGACTAAACTTAATAGCTGATAAAATAAGTTATACTAGATGAACTATGTGGGCTATTCATTTTTATTTTTATATAACAACTATGTGGGCTATTCTATATTTTTTTGTTTTATGACATGAAAACCTGTGCGGTCGCTACCCAAGTGCGTACTGGGGTGTGATTGTTTTTAATTTGAGGCATTTTATGCTAATTATGAGTAAATTAATATATAAAATAATATATTGTGCTAATTGTTTCTTCGTATATATTGTAGTATTTTATAATATTAATTGGACACATCGATAATCTTTAATTGGAAGAACATGCTCAAGAAGTTTCTACTAATGAAAAATAAGAGATTTGAGGTAAAAAATATTTATCTCATTTAAATAGATTAATCTAAGCTATTTGTAACGTGTCCGGAAGCTGACACGCCCGGCGCCTAGGCCACGCTTGCGCTGAGGTCCAGACCAGTCGTCCCCTGTGCACAATACGTCCGGGATATACCATACAGTATGGAAGAATCATGCGGAACACGTACATGCACCAAGATATGAGTCATTAGTTGGCCATACAGGACAGGGGCTCGCACACATGGGACGGACTATGGTCGAAAACCAGGGGCAGGAATGTGAGCCCGTGACAAACTCCCCCACTTCAAGTCGCAAACGCCCTCGTGCAACGCTACTTGAGTGCACTTACATTGTTTTTTGCACCTCGGTATGCCTCCGGCATCACTCCGTCGATCATTTCCTGCATACCCTTCTTTTTTTTGTGCTCACCAACAGCCAGCGAGGTCTTTTGCTATAATCCATGTGCAACCCAACTTCCGCTGCGCATCTCCACACACCATCCAGGACATTCTTTGTTGCGGCTTGTGCAATTTTCGCCTGATGATCGTCCTTAACGTGGTTTTTCCCTCACGAACAAAGCTCGGCCCTCTTGGCCCTTTCAGCAACATCGAGCATACTCCCCCTCCTTGAGATGTCCAGTAATCTAAGGACATGCTCTTCCTTGACGTGCTCGACAACGTCGGACTGTCCAATTACCTTAGGACATGATCATCCTTGACGTGCCCATCGACATGCTCCTTGTCTCGAGACATGCCCACTTTGTCGCTTCGTTCGCCACCAGCGTCAAGGTCCGCTCTGATACTATATGTAACGTGTCCGGAAGCTGACACGCCCGGCGCCTAGGCCATGCCCGCGCTGAGGCTTAGACCAGCCGTCCCCTGTGCGCAACACGCCCGGGATATACCATATATTATGAGAGAATCGGGATATACCATATAGTATGAGAGAATCATGTGGAACACGTACATGCACCAAGATATGGGTCATTATTCGGCCATACAGGACAGAGGCTCGCACACATGGGACGGACTATGGCCGAGAACCAGGGGCAGAAATGTCAGCCCGTGACATATTAGACTAAAAATGAGCTACACTAAATTAACTAACATGGCCCAAAACAAACGAGTATAAACAAAGTTGGTTTGCAAACATCTATGAGCTGGTCCAAGGAAAAATTTTGTAAGAAGATTGGCAAGCTGATTTGAGCTATGGACATGGAGTAAAGAAGTAAACCCAATGGTGTAATGGTTCCGGATGAAATGACAATCCATATCAATGTGCTTGGTTTTCTCATGAAAAACAAGATTTTCTGCCATATGAAGGGCATCTTAGCTATCAAAATTAAATATAATTGGCAAGGTATATGAAGTGATTTGATAAGATAAGAAAACCATATTAGTTCACACGTAGTTGTGATCATAGCTCTATAATCATATTGTGTTGAAGACAAACTAACGGTGGAATGTTTCTTAGCTTTCCAATAGATTAAGTTTAGTCCAATGAAGACACAATAACTTGTAATAGACTTTCTTGAATCTGGACATGACCCCAATCAGTATCACAACAAGCAACCAATTTCAATGAATCGGACTTTAAGTACACTAAACTCAAATCTAGTGCTCTTTTGAAATATTGCAAAAGATGAAGACTTGTCTTCCAATGTAGAGAAGTGGGACGCCTCATGAACTGACTTAGTTGCTGAGTGGTATAACAAATGTTAAGTCTAGAGAAGTTAAAGTATATGAGCCATCCAAGTCGCCTCTTGTTTGGAAAAGGACTAGGATTAGGGAGAGCCTCACGAGCATCACTTGATAGTTTCAAACCTTTCGGCAAAGGTGTTCAAGCAGCCACACCATCCCACTTCCTCGATAATACCCTTTGTGTATTTAACCCAAGATAGTACAAGTGCCATGGAAGTAATTTGCCTCACCAAGATCTTTAATTGTGAAGGTCTTGTGCAGATAATCCTTTACTTTGTTAACCTTCATCGGAAAGGATTCAACCAAAAGTATGTCATCAATATACACTATAGTATCATATCCTTCGTACATAAATAATAAGCAATGGTCACGAAGAGATCATTTGAATCCAAAGACAATAAATTTTTCCGTCAATATTTGTGTACCAAATTCTTGGGACTTGCTTAAGCTCATAAATGGATATCCTCAACGTGCAGAACTGACCTAACTATCCATACAAAAAGATATTATTCTCATCAATCTGTTGAATCACCAAAAACAAAACTTTCATCGAAATCTTTGTTGTCACATCTTTAGTCACAAAGACAAAACTTTCATCGAAATCTTTTCCATGAACTTGCAGATATCCCTTGGTTACTAATCTTGACTTATTTCTTTTTATAGTCCTATCTTGTTCTTTTTTATCCTATAAATCCATTTGCAACCTATTATTTTCTTATCTTTTGGTAGTTCTGTTAAATTTCCAAGTGCTATTCTTCTCTAAAGCCTCTTGCATAGCTAGCTTTCACCCATTTGGGATCTTTAGTTGCTTCAATATGAGATTTTGGTTCATCCTCTACTTCAGTCAAGAAGGCTTTGGGCTGCAAAACATATATAATCATTCATGAGTTTGGTTTCTTTGTTACTCTGTGTGTCTATCTTGATCATGAGACACAGTGGGATCAGATGCAACTTCAATACCAACTTTTGTAGTCTCCTCCGACACTATCTGGTTTCCAACGTTGTTATCTTTATGAACAACACTCATTGAATAGTCGACTATTTTTTATTTTTTTTTCTCATGGGGTATAGCTAGATGTGTCCATGCCAGTAGGTGTCTTCATTGGAAGACTTGTGCTCGGGAATATGTGTTCATAGAATATCACATGTATTGTGATCAGAAAAGTTCATGTCTCAAAAATGAATACCTTGTACCCTTTCTCTCTTATCTAGTTTAGATATTTATATGGATCAAAATTGTATACAAAACACAAGCAACCAAAAGCTTTAAGATCATCAATCTTTGGCTTCATTCTGTATACCACTTCATATGGTGATTTATTTATCAATTAATAAGGCCTCTTCCCATTTTGTTGGAGAGTATAAGGGTACAACTTTGATGAAGAATTCTATATTTATCCAATTGCTGAAATCTAGGGTTTGAAAATTCTTGTTTAGATTTGAAATTAATTTAAATTTTTTGTTTAAATAAGTATTTTTAATCTAATATTTTGTGAGAAAATAATACTTTACAGATCCTCGGATCAAATACCAACTCAAAAAACTTCTGTATAAATGGAACCTTAGCCTCTACGAGCTCCATAATCTCATTTCTTTCGACAGCGAGTCCAACGTCCGACGAATGCACTGCATTCCGGCGGATCCGGCGACGAACTCATGCACCGTTCTGTCGACGTCGATCCAACTGCACCCGGGTTGCTTCTCGACGCCTTTCTCCCTCATAGCGCCCCTCAGACTCACCACGCCGCGCCACCGCCTGTCTGCAGCCAACGAATTCGACAGCATTACGTACCCGCCGGAGTTCTCGGGATCAACTTCAATCAGCGCAGCCGAGATCATTTGCGACAGCTCTAACCGGCCGTGGCGAATGCAGCCGGCGAGCAGCGACCCCCAAACAAATCTATTGGGTTCGAAAGGCATGGAGGCCGCAACATCGAGAGCTTCTTCGATAAAACCCGATCGGGACAGAAGATCAATGTAACAAGCATAGTGTTCCAGCCGAGGCGCAACGATCATGTCGTTGAAAATTTCGCGCCCTTCGCGTATAAGACCGGAGTGGCTACACGCGCACAAAACGGCGAGGAGGGTTCCGGAATTAGGGCGCAAGCCGAGTTCTTGAATTTCCGAGAAAAGGCTCAAAGCCTCGTCTCCGTTTCCGTTCACGGCGAGACCCATGATCATGGCGTTGATCGAAACCACGTCTTTTCTACTCATCTCGCGGAAGACGGCACGTGCGCTGTCCAAATCGCCGCATTTCGAGTACATGTCTATCAATGCGGTGGCGAGGTTAACGTTCGATGCAAGCGTGCTTTTCTGCCCCCCGTTTCGAATGTATTCGTGGATCCACGACCCAAGCGATAAGTCCCCGATTTCAGCGCACGCTGAGAGGATGCTAACCATGGTGACGTGGTTTGGACGACAATCGTTGCTACTTATCATCGATCGGAAAGTAGCCAATGCCTCCACGGCGCAGCCGTTCTGCTCATAAGCGCCGATCATGGCATTCCAAGAAAGAACACTTTTTCTGCCGTTTTCGGAAATTTTGTCGAATGCTTCCCTACTCTTGTCGATCTTTCGCCATTTTCCAAACAGGTAGACGAGGACGATATTCGTGTAATCGAAACTAATGCTGTTAGTAGAGTCTAACTCATCAGCTGCATTCTGTTCTAGCAGATTCACCCATTTTTGGATTCCTTGAAGATCAAGTCTCGAACAGGCCGATAAAATGTTGATCATGGTGTCGCTTGCCGGGCGAAGATTTTCAGTCAGCATTGTGGCGAATAGATTCAAGGCATCGTCGGGGAATCCGAGTTTAGCATAGGAAGAAATCAAACAAGTCCAGGAACAAACCAGATTTCTGTGAGGCATTTTGTCGAACACATGGCGGGCGGACACTAAATCCCTAACCCCCTTGGCGTAGGCGACGAGCAAACCGTTGAGAACAAAAGCTTCGCAGGCGAATCCCAATTTGACGACATCAGAATGTATTTGCTTCACAGAACTCGCATCAATGGCGTCGATTGAGCACGCCTTGAGAAGGAAGGACAAGGTCAGGTGATTAGGCGAAATTGGGCGGGATTTGAGCTCCTTAAAAAGCAATAGCGCGGCTCGGGGACGATTCTCGTCGGCCATGGTGTGGATGAGTGAATTGAAGGAGAAGACGTCGGGGTTCTGCAACGAATTGAAGACATCGATCGCCGATTCGGCAGAGTAGTGGGCGATGAGTCGAGCGGCGATGAGGTTGTCCTGGTGGGCACCCATGGTGAACATTAGAGCGTGGATTTGGAGCAGCCATCGCGGCGGGACGTGGCGTTGCTGCAACAGGCGGGAGAGATTATCCAGTCTCGAATTCGAATTTGAACTGATCGAGCGGCGGAGGGCGGCGATCGGAGGCGAATTGAATTTGAGGTTTGATCGGAAATCGGGGCGGCGAATACGGCGCACGAACTGAAGCATCAGTCGGAGATTTTCTGTGTCTTCGTGTTGTATGGTGCATTAGTGTTTCATACTTTCATTCATGCAATTGTCCTTGTGCGGTGTTGGTAAACACGGGCGTGTTGACCCGTTAGAAGAGTTGGGGCAAATAGGACTGGAAAAGGAAAAAATAAAATAACCGACCACAGTGGGAGTCGAACCCACGACCTTTTGATCCGAAGTCAAACGCGCTAATCCACTGCGCTATGCGGTCATTTAATTACTTAAGCACATATTTATTTATTTAACCTATAAATACAAGAATTAAGGTAAAAAATAATTAATAAATAATTTAATTAAGATTTTAAATTTATGAATTTAAAATATAACTAAAATTTATAATCATATTTTAAAAAAAATAAAATAATAAATATATAAGTCGGAGCGAAATAAAAAATATAAATATTTTATAGAGACGAAGAAAGTATTATATTTTACTATACCATCGCAACTCAATGTATATTTTTTTTACTATTTTTATACATCTCACTTAAAATATTTATTTTCAATTACAGTAAAATAATTATATCTAAATATTATACCCTAAATTTTACAAAAATATTCATTTACTTTGTATTTTCAAGAGCAAATATATCAAAAGAAATTTACATACTTAAACTAACTAATAAATATTATTATTATTTCATAATCTATTACTCCTTCCGTCCCGTAAAAAGAGCACAATTTGTTTTTTGCATGTAAATTTTAAAATATTAGTATTATATTAGTTTGTAGTAAAAGACAAAAATGTCCTTATTAGTATGGTGTATTACAAAAGTGATGATATTTGTGTAATATATTGTAAATTGTAAGAGTATTTATTATGTTAAGCGGGTAGTACAGTTATTAAATTAGAAAATTGTATCCTATTTTGAGACGGACAAAAATAAAAAATAGTATCCTTCCTATAAGACAGAGGAAGTATAATAAAATAAAATGATACATTTAGTTGGAGGGGGAAATATGAATTTGTTTACCTAATAAATTTTATATTTTTTTCGATTAATATTACGAAAAATATAATATATAATATATTATATTATTTTATATAAAATTAACAATTTAATATAAATTTTTTTTTTTTTTCAACTTAATTTACTTTTTATACTATTTTTGTTATGTTTTACTAAAAAATATTTATTTTCAATTATAATAAAAATAATCATAGTTAAATATCAAAATATACTTTTAATTTTTACAAAATTATTCATTTCATTCGTATTTTTAATGATAAAAATGTCAAAATTATCTTATATTTTCACTAATCAATAAAATGTTAGTGTGTTTATGTGTGAGATTTTGATTTTGAATAGTAAAATTTTGAATTAAAATAGTTATTTGATGTGATATAAATATATAATGATATAATGTTTTGAATAAAAAAAGAGTAAATTTTAATGTAATATTATAAATGAAAAATAAGTGATTAATTTGAAATTTTTAAAGAAAATAATTTTGGAATAGTAAAATCACGGTGAAAATTATACAAGTAAAGACAAGTGGATACATTGAGTTATGATGGAGGGAATTTTATTTTTCATAGGGTAAATTATTTTTTTAGTCCCGTAACTGGACCCCTTTATCATTTTAGTCCTGTAAGTGGAGCCTGTCGCAAACTAGTCCCATAAGTGAAAAACTTTTGCTGTTTTAGTCCTCCGGCGCCGGAGACGCCTGCATGGCTCGCCGGAGGTGACGTGTCCGCCAGATGTCCCGCCAGGTCAGCGACACCTGGCGGACACGTGGATTTATTTTTAATTTTTCAATTTTTTAAATTTTTAAATTTTTTTTTAATTGTAACAAATAAAAAAATACAAATAAATTGAAAATAAGTTTTAAAAAAAATTTAAAAAATGAAAAAAAATTAAAAAAATCTACGTGTCTGCCAGGTCAGCGACACCTGGCTGATACGTCACCTCCGGCGAGCCACGCGGGTGTCTCCGGCGCCGGAGGACTAAAACAGCAAAAATTTTTCACTTATGGGACTAGTTTGCGACAGGCTCCACTTACGAGACTAAAATGATAAGGGGGTCCAGTTACGGGACTAAAAAAATAGTTTACCCTTTTTATATTATTGATACAATTTTTCGTACTAACATAAAATTACATACATCGAAAAATACAAAGTAAACGCATCTTATATTAAAACATAAAATAAAATATGTATTGATTTATTTTAAAAAATTATAATTCGATAAGGTGTGTTTGTTTTGGGGTTTGTATTTTGATTTGAGATTTGAATATTTAAAAATTTAAATTGAAATAGTTGTATAATTTGATATAAATAAGTATTGATGTGATATTTGAATATAAAATTAATTTTTAGTACTCGGTCATAAAAAAGTATTCCCATTTAGTCCGACACATATTTTAAAAAAAATAAGTAAAAATAAAAGTAATTTCTTATCAGAGTAAATAAAAAATAGAAAAAATAGTATTTTTATACTAAAAAATAAAAGAATAAATTTAAATGATAAAAAAAAATTTGAAAATAAATTTTGATGACAGATATAATATATTATAAAAATTATAAAATAAATATTTAATTTGATATTTTTTTTATAAAAGTATTTGAATAAATAGTAGAACTTATCCAAAATCCTTTAAATAAGCAACCTTTTTATTGTTAGTTTCCTTTAGACAATTCCGCTCTTGGCTGCTTTTGTGCAAGTACTTTTTTTCACTTCATTTTTTATATGATTATAATTTTAGTTATATTCCCAAAAAGTCAAAAGTTAAGTGACAATGTGTATTTATTTTGTGAAATAATTTGAAATGATAATGTTTTTATGTGAAATATGAAAATTTAAATAATATAAAAATACTAAATATATATATCATATTATAAACAGAGAGTTTGTAATCGGATCATACAATCTAAACACACCGAAAGCAGTACATTTAAAATACAAAATCAATTGTTAACCTATTTCGATCATTATTGACCTACAACTGTAATTCAGGCTTACAGAGAAACAATGTTTAATGTTCAGCACAAAAATCCTTAAACTCCAACTCTTAGATTTCTTTTTGTCTTACATCACACAATCTCGTATTTTTCATACATTCATAATATGTTGCATATTTCTCTCAATTTGTTTTAATTGAAGTTACACAGAGGGTGATCAGCATTCATTTCTTTTGGTAACTTCAATTAAATATTTTCATATTGAGCAACATTTAAGACATTAACTCCAAAGTCAATTGGACATATGTAAACCATTGGATTTCACTGGTTAAAAATCATCAACCAAAACTAAAAAAAATCATACTTTCTCTGTTCAAACAAAAAGTATACATTTACTTTTGGCGCGAAGTTTAAGAAATAATAGTATTTTAATTATAGTGGGTAGATAAAAGTAGTGTAATGACAAATTTTCTCTTACTTTTTTGGTATAAAATTAATGATGTGATGTAAAGTAGGGTTATTCGTGGAAAAAATAGAATATTTAATGAAATGATTACTTTGTAATTGGATCGTTCGAAAATAGAAATATGTATACTTTCTAGTTGCACGGAGGGAGTATTAACTATTAACAAACTAAATTCAAATTCATTTATTTTTTATTCTACTTGGATTTTATTCTTTTTTTTATATATATATATTATGTATTATGTAATGTTATCATTATCGCAGTATTAGTTTTTCTTTTATATATATATATATATCACTAGAGATGGCAATATCGGGCCGGCCCGATCTGTTCGTGCCGGGCTAATGCGATCTGATTTATTTTAGATCGGGACAACGTCGGGTCTGGTTTGATATTGGGCTTGGGAATCCAGGCCAAGGACGGCCCGGGTCAAAATCGTTCCGGGCCGAGCTAGCCCAATTTTATTTATTTATTTATTTTTAATTATACTTTTTTAAAAATCTAATACAAGTTCAATAAAATTTTGAATAATAAACATAGCAATTGAACACATAAATTATCAATAATAACACAACTTCAACCATTACACTATATTTCAATTTTGGATATATATATACTATATTTATAAAATTATTTATTTAAAATATATTTAAATTATAAAATCGGGACAGACCATTCACAGCCCGAAAAAATTTGGGCCTATTTTTTATGCCCAAGTATGATTTTTTGTGCCGAGTTTGAATCGAATTTTCGGGCCGGGTCTATTTTGTCAACACTAGATATCCCACTAAGTTTTTTTCACTTTGTGATTTTAAATAAATATATTTTTTATATTAGTGATGAAAAATCATATTGATAATATAAAAACTAATAGATTATGTTTGAATTATCTTTTGTGTGTGGATAAAGTATATATATTATATACTGTGTCAGTGTGTATATTATTCTCTCTGTCCCATCCAATTATTCTCATATTTTTTTTTTAGTTATCACACTCAATTACGTTACTTTCCAAAAAAAGAAGTAAAATTACGGAATTTTTAATTACAATTAAATCTTAACTAATTCAAATGAATCTATTTTCAGTTTTTTACTCACAATTATTTCAAAATTTTATTTTGAATTCGATTAATTAAAACTGATTAAAATAAACATGGTCCAAAAATCAGAAAATTCGACTCGGGCATAATATAAAAAAATTGGTCTCGAATGTAGCTGAAAATTTAAATAATAAAAATAATTTAAATTTTAATATTTTTAAAAAATATTATAATTAATAGTAAATTTTAACGGTGTATTTGGTTTGAAATTTGGAATATGTTTATATTGTGTTTTGGTTTGAATATTTTTTTATATGAAGTACGGAGAATTGTGTAGATAATAATAATAATAATAATAATAATAATAATAATAATAATAATAATAATGAGTGTGTATTATATTAATATTTTTGAAAAAATATGTTAGAAAACTTTTTGTTGAAGAAACAGAACATTGGATTTTGAACTTTTGTTAATAATAAAAATATATAATTTAAATATTTTTTCATTCAATATAAATATGTATTAATATGATATTTTGAATGTAAAATGATAATTAATATAATATAAAAATAAAAAATAAAAAATTGAT